TGTCGATATAGAGAGTGTAAGGCTCCTAGTTGGGGGAGTGCTCGTTGAAAGTGATTGCATTACTGTATTTACTACTTATTTTGTTATGCTACTCTTGACCTCCATTTCGTAATATAACATCTTCCCTGGATTGAGCATATAGGTCATTTTTTGAAGCATCTCGAGTCCTTTCCTTTTCCTTTTATATTCTACTACTCGAGAGAGATTATTAAACAATTTAGGAATGTTGATCTTCGTAATTGAATCGTGTTATCAAATTATACGATTTAGGATTAAAAGGATTGATACGAGGAATTCATGATTCTAATACGTTTTTTATCATTAAATTTTCATCAAACTTGCATTCATTATAATTTTGTATTGATTTTATTTAAATTAGGTATTTCGTTCATTACTAGATTATTTGATTATAATTTATTTGGACTCAAAATCTATTTTATTACTTGTTAACAAATCGTGCACTTGCAGTAATTTTAAACAAACAAATATTTTCGTGAGATGAGCAACTAATTAGCATGGAAAAGCAATATTGCAAGCCCAATTGGAATAGGATAAATATTATATGACTAATGTCTAATTATTACTTTTAGACAATAATAGAAGATGTTCACACTGAGATCGAGCAACTAATTAGCAATATTGCAATCCTAACTGGAATAGTATAAGTATTATATAAATAACGTCCAACTTTTCTAGCATTAAATAATAATTTTTTGATTGTGCAACTCAACTTTTCTAGCATTGTATAAAGGTGGTTAGGGTTCGACTGAAATAAAGCCCCAATTCAGCAATTCTTTCCTTAGATCCGAGACAAATACACACACACACACACACACACACACACACTCTCTCTCTCTCACATACAGAGTTCGAATTTCCACAATTTCGACTTTGCTCAACTCTTCTTAAACACTCAATGGCATTCTCAATACCACCAGGTTTCCGTTTCAAACCCACTGAACAAGAACTTATCACACTTTTCTTAAAACGCAAAGCAATGGGATTCCCATTGACATGCAATAGAATTATTGATCGAAATTTATACGGGAAGAATGGTACCCCATGGGATGTTTTTTCCAACAATGATCCATGGGAAATTGTTGGGGATTCTGAAGTTGATGTTTTGAAGAAGGAAATTTATGTGTTTACGAAGTTGGAAAAGATCACTAGAAAACATATTGTTAGGGTGGCCGGTTGTGGAACATGGGACGGAAAATCTACGCCGAAGGATATCTGGAACTGCGAGGGCAAAATCATTGGCGTCAAGAAGTGGTTTACGTTCAAAGTGAATGGCAATTTGACGCAAGACGAGCTAAATAAGAAGCATGGTCGTTGGACAATGCACGAATATACTTTGAAAGGAAGTTCTTTCGAGGGAGTGGATAACACGGATTATGCCGTTTGTCGAATTTCATGGGAGCTGCCAAAATGCTGCGTCGAAGAAGAGAGAAGGCCGACTAATATGTCTGATATAGAATTTCCAAGTTTAATTGAAGAAATTACTTGGAACCAAGCATTGCGCGATCAGGAGCAGAACTCTGAAGCTAATTTGCCTTTGCCTGAAATGACTCACGAAGAAGGTTTACGTTGTATTGAAGAACACTTTACTTTCCCTGATAATGTTTATGTTTAGTGTTCTAATTCAACTAATAGAAGTTGTGATGCGAGTTATTTCTCTTTAACCGGCATAATTTTATCAATTTATGTATCATTTCAATCATAATCTGATTTAGTTGTGATGAATTGTGATAGGACATCTAAAATAAATGGGAAGTTGTTATGGTTTATCATGTCTCTGGGATTAATCTCTTGTTGCTGGTGGTGATGTTGTTGAGTTGGCAGTACTGAAGGTATCATTGTTGTTTTTGATGAAGATTGAGAAACAAAATTTCACCGTAACCATGATAATAAAACCCTGAGACACCATAGTTCAAATTACTGTCATCTCCTCTACGGAGAAATTCTGCATAATTCTGGACATTGAAGCGGTTTTCTTGAGAAAGAGGCCGATACGTTTGAGTAGTCGACTCAGAAACTACTGGCAAATCTCGACGTGTTGTTAAGTAACAGACGCGGTTTTTCCTTGCACTCTTTCAGGAAAATTGAGCTTAGCTTTGTTACCTTTAAATCTTAGCGCTGCTTCATCATAAGCATGAGCAGCAGCCTCTGCAGTGTCAAAGGTTCCAAGCCAGACTCTTGCAGCCTTATTGGGATCACGGATTTCGGCAGCCCATTTACCCCAAGGCCGCTGCTTGACTACTTTATGGTCTCTTCTCCTTTGCTGGTCTGGACTCCCTTTATGTATATTTATGCACATCATATGTGATAAGGAATAAAATAAAGTCAAGAAAATCATTTTTAGGAAAGCTCCCGTGTAAGGAGCTAGATAATAATCCTAGAAAAACTCCATATCCATATGCCCGTATACTGTTCCAATAACTGTATAAAAACACACACACATATAGAACTAGAAAGTGTCATAGGGATGCATGAATGAAATGACATAAAATGTAAGGAATTAAGTCCTAATCTTAATTGGTAGAGCAATATTAATGGCTGTGCTCAGCGGTGGCGGCCGCACAGGTAAGGAAGGAAAGGGAGTGACGAGGATGGTGTTGCCCTACTGGCTGTTGAAACTGGTGGTAAATGGTAATACTAGGATTTATTTTTATTTTTTTTTTAATTAGTAACGTTTGTTTAGTTTTTAATTTGACATTCCATATTTTAAAATTCATTTTTCCATTTTATACATCCTCTCACTAAAATAATTTTACAATAACACGCATAAAATTTTCCAACATTTTTATTTATGCATTATCCAAAAATGTCTGATAACGAATTTTCAAGTTTAATTGAAGAAAGGAATTGGAACCAAGCATTGCGCGATCAGGAGCAGAACTCTGAAGCTAATTTGCCTTTGCCTGAAATGACTCATTGTATTGAAGAATACTTTACTTTCCCTGATAATTTTTATGTTTAGTGTTCTAATTCAACTAATAGAAGTTGTGATGCGAGTTATTTCTCTTTAACCGGCATAATTTTATGAATTTATGTATCATTTCAAGCATAATCTGATTTAGTTGTGATGAATTGTGATAGGACATCTAAAATAAATGGGAAGTTGTTATGCTTTATCATGTCTCTGGGATTAATCCATCAACTTGGCAATTAGTTAGAAGTATAAAATTATGTATAAAAGTATAGTTCTTGCCATGAGAACTATAACTCAAAGGTTCACCATATTACTCGTTACAATATGTATAAAACACGCAACAGATACTAGATTGCATTAACTGGAGAAAGTAAAACATTGGAGAGAAATATTATATGAAGTGGGTTTGTATCAAATTAACAAAGGAAGGAAATTAAATGGCATATTGCATAATTGAAATGGTATGAAATCTCTATAAAGACTCCCATTGAGAAACAAAGGTGGAAATTAAATCTCTTGTTGATGGTGGTGATGTTGTTGAGTTGGCAGTACTGAAGGTATCATTGTTGTATTTGATGAAGATCGAGAAACAAAATTTCACCGTAACCATGATAATAAAACCCTGAGACACCGTAGTTCAAATTACTGTCATCTCCTCTACGGAGAAATTCTGCATAATTCTGGACATTGAAGCGGTTTTCTTGAGAAAGAGGCCGATACGTTTGAGTAGTCGACTCAGAAACTACTGGCAAATCTCGACGTGTTGTTAGGTAACAGGCGGTTTTTCCTTGCACTCTTTCAGGAAAATTGAGCTTAGCTTTGTTACCTTTAAATCTTAGCGCTGCTTCATCATAAGCATAAGAAGCAGCCTCTGCAGTGTCAAAGGTTCCAAGCCAGACTCTTGCAGCCTTATTGGGATCACGGATTTCGGCAGCCCATTTACCCCAAGGCCGCTGCTTGACTACTCTATGGTCTCTTCTCCTTTGCTGGTCTGGACTCCCTTTATGTATATTTATGCACATCATATGTGATAAGGAATAAAATAAAGTCAAGAAAATCATTTTTAGGAAAGCTCCCGTGTAAGGAGCTAGATAATAATCCTAGAAAAACTCCATATCCATATGCCCGTATACTGTTCCAATAACTGTATAAAAACACACACACACATAGAACTAGAAAGTGTCATAGGGATGCATGAATGAAATGACATAAAATGTAAGGAATTAAGTCCAAATCTTAATTGGTAGAGCAATATTAATGGCTGTGCTCAGCGGTGGCGGCCGCACAGGTAAGGAAGGAAAGGGAGTGACGAGGATGGTGTTGCCCTACTGGCTGTTGAAACTGGTGGTAAATGGTAATACTAGGATTTATTTTTATTTTTTTTTTAATTAGTAACGTTTGTTTAGTTTTTAATTTGACATTCCATATTTTAAAATTCATTTTTCCATTTTATACATCCTCTCACTAAAATAATTTTACAATAACACGCATAAAATTTTCCAACATTTTTATTTATGCATTATCCAAAAATGTCTGATAACGAATTTTCAAGTTTAATTGAAGAAAGGAATTGGAACCAAGCATTGCACGATCAGGAGCAGAATTCTTTGGCTTATTAATGCATAGAATCTCGTGGAATGATTTGATTTTAAAAATAAAACATCAAGTGGCTTGCCAGTCATTAGAAAGTGTTTGATAAAGAAATTGAAATTGAAACTTTCCCTTTGTTAACATGTCTCTGGCTAAGCTTAATAGATTTTTTATAACAACTAATTAATTAGGTCTTAAGTAAAAAAATAATAATAATAATAATAAAAATGGAAGAAGAAGAAAAAAAGTAGGTCTTAAAATATATTTTTGCTGATTTAAATTGAAAACAAACAAGTTATATAATTTGATTCCAATTAACATTTGAGAATGAAATTATGTTATGAAGAATCATCATCGGCTTTTCAGATTTTTCCATAGCCGCCAGCATTAGAGAGGGATCTAGACTTGGCTTATTACTAATTAAGGATTATTCATGTAGAATTCTTTGAATTATTTCTGCGTACCTTGGCTTCTACCTTTTGGATATTAAGAGTTTCTGAATTTTTTTATTATTAAATGCTTGATATCCTATTACTTAATATATTTGGAACTTGGAATTAACCAGGTCTAATTCCTAAAACTGAAGCAGGAAAGTGGGATCGAGAAGCCCATTGTTGCTTTCATTGCTGGACTTACTGCTCTACCTTGTCGACGGATGGGTCGAGTTAATTGGTAATTCTGGTAACATTTTGTTGACACATAAAAATTTGGCCCAAATCGAACGGCTCAAAGAATGAAACCCAATGGGAGGATCCCCAAATCAGATAGCCCAAAAAATGAAGCCCAATCAGACAATTCAGGATGAAGGCCCAAATAGGGAAGCCCAGGAACGCGGTAACACCATCGCCCAATCTTGCAAATTGCCCAGGATCTGAGCGAATGGAGTGACATGCAGTCGCCCAGAACTGCTACTCTATTCTCGCCCAAACCCTTTCGAGTCGCCCAAGGTCTTAGCAAACATGAAGTGTTGTGGTTATCAAGAAGCGCAGTTATCAAAGCAGTTATTAAGCAGCCCTATCACGTTCCACAATTCAAGGAATTCAATCGAAAACGGTTGAACGACAAAGAGTAATAGCAGCAGTTAAAAAAAGCAGTTCCATGACAAGTTGGTCATTACGAGGAAAGTGGGCAGTTATAGAAGATCAAGCAGTTTTTAGGCGATTGATCACAAAGAGATCATCCAGGGAGTATAAAAGGAAGAAAAGACATAGAACAAAGGACCCGAATCAAAAAACTCTCGAACAAAGAACATGTAATTTTAAATTTCTTAATTTAGATTTAAACACTTCTTTCAGTAACTCGTGTGCTTGCACTCCTTAGAGGCATTCTATTTTTACTTTCCGATTGTAAAGACATCGCCAATAAAGAACACCCTTTTTTGGGACTTTGTCTCAAGAGGTTTGTCCCTTACACAATCGTCTGATCCCTTTTTAATTGTTAGCGACGAACACGCGCGAAACAATTTGGCACGCCCAGTGGGACAGTGGTGTTTGGTATTGAAAATACAAAAGGTGAAACAATATGCCTCAGAGATCCAATAAGGAAGCAGCAAGTGAGGGAGGAGTCCAGTCTGTGATCGAGCGATATGAGGAGCAGCATGCCTCTCCACGAACAGATGGACAGAATTAGAACAGTCGTTACGAACCAATGACAGAGTTGAGTTCTCGAACCATGCGTGCACTACTTGGAGAACTCACACAAGATATCGTTGAACATGTAAATCTTTGAAGTATTTATAATATAGAAAGATTTACCCAAAATGAGAATGCACATTATGACAACATGGCCAAACAACTAAACACTTTGAATGAAATAATGAATAAGTTAGTAGGCCAAATATGTCAACCGGTTATACCTCTTGCAAATCACTTTCAAACTAGGACAATTGTGAGACATAATCCCTCAACCCTAAATCCAAATCAAGGGATAGAACCACTTTATGGTCCCTCTACTTCAAACCAAGGGGGTGGTGCAGTGCCAAATCAGAACAATAGTAGTGGTGCGCCTAACTTGGGGGGTAATCCAAATGTAAGAGATAATGTCCTAAACAATGGACAGAATACCTCACGTGTTAATGAGGGAATAGATGTCCAGGCTAATGGTAATGGCCCTAATCATGGTAATTTTATTGCCAATCAAGGACCAAACATCTGGCCTCATGCAAATCAACCGGTTAACCAACCTGTAGGAATTCCATATGACCCCAACGTCATGTTGAAGAATCAGATTATGGAAATCGTACAGGATCAGATGGCTTTTGGGGTGCGTCCTATCATTAGGCCGACTTACACAAAGCCATATCCTGATTGGGTAGACCAAGCATATCCATGGCCTAGAGGGTATAAAGTGCCAGAATTCTCACTGTTTACCGGTTTAGGAGAGGTGTCTACTCTAGAACACATAGGGCGATTCACATTGCAAAGTGGTGATGTAACTGATTACCATAAAATGAGGCTTTTCCCTAGTTCATTAACAAGAGTAACTTTCTCCTGGTTCATCAACTTGCCAGCGAACTCTGTTCAAACATGACAACAATTGGAACAATTATTCCACGCTCAGTTTTATAAAACTGAGTCTGAAGTCACTTTGACTGATTTGGCGAATCTACGTCAAATGCCAAACGAATGGGCAGAAAGTTTTCTCCAAAGGTTCAAGACAGCAAGAAGCAAGTGTTTTGTACCTCTGCCTGAAAAAGAATTTGTCAAAATCGCTCAGGGCTGTTTGAGCTTTGATTTAAAAAAGAAATTCCAAGACAAGGAATTTCCCAACCTTTTCCAGTTGAGTGCGAATGTGATTAGGTATGAACGACTGATAAGAGAAGAAGAGCAGATGAAAAATTCTAGTAAAGGGACTTATTACAAAGACCCAAATTTTGACGTTCATACCATCAGCGACGAGTCATACGATCAAGCCGAAATGTGTTTGGCCGAATTGGTCAAAGGAGACACGTATACTTGTCCTATAATGGCTAAGCCTAGACCATCGGGCAAGGATGAGCCTATGAAAGATGAAAACATAAAAGTTAGAACGTTCTCGTTCGATGTAACCAAAGCTGACCTTATATTTGATAAATTATATAGGGATAAGCAGATAAAGCTGAGCGATAAGTATAAATTGACAAACCCTGAACAAATTAAGGGTAAAAAATATTGTAAGTGGCATAATGAATGGTCACATTTGACTAACAATTATTTGGTTTTTTGCCATGTATTGCAGGATGCCATTGAATCAGGACGAATTACGTTCGACGATAAGAAGAAGATGGCAGTGGATGAAAATCCTTTTCCACAGCCACTTGGAGTGAACATGGTGACGTCTGGTTTCAAAAACAAGTTGCCAAAATTCAAGTTGGTCATAGATGATGGAGAAGAGGACCCTGGATCACATCCCAGTGTCTTTGAACGAATCAAGGGGAAAGAGCAAAAAAAGGATGAAGACGTCCTGTGTGCAAGATGTAAAAGAGAAGTGAGTGGGAACACGGAGAAACCAGGGATATGGCAGCATCCCCATCGCCCTACTTTCTTCCCAAACACTCAGCCTGGTAGAGGGCGAGGTACATCATTCTATAGAGGACCGCCTTTTAAGAGGCAGTTCAGGCCAGTAGATAATGGGAGAACATTCAGGCCGCAATCTCGCCGGCCAAATGTATGGCATTCGTTCCAATATAATGCAGGAAGGACAATACCCTTCGATGAGATGACTAGAACCCAACAAAGGCGTTTCCAATGAAACTATGGATGAATGATGAGGCAGCAACAGGGAGTGCCACATCCTAAAGCGCCTAAACTACTCAAGGTAGCCAATCAAAATGTTCTCAAAGATAGTGAAGAGACCGGTACAGATGAATCAATGAGAGAACTGCCAGAAACTTCTTCTGGGAGATCAAAGTTTGAGCGAGACAGAAGGGATGGAGAAGATCCAGATCAACCCCTTACTATCCAATTCGGTACGTTACCTCCTGTCGTGGCTAATAATTACTTACTAGCCAATGAATTCAAGAATAAAGAAAAAGAAGAAGAAGAAATGGAGGACAACGAAGGAGAGGCTTGCGCGCTGGAATGTGAAGAAGGCCAGACTTCTAGAGAGGCCTACAATGATGAAGAAGACGATGGGATGACAGACATCGAAGAAGAAATCGACCTAGAAGCAGAAAGAAGAAGGAGAGGAGTATCGCACAACACTCTGTTGAAACAACTACATCGAGAGGGGGTTCGCGAAGTAGACTTGTTGGGAGAACCATCTGGGCGTCCTTTCGATTTCTACGAACTGTACGGGACGTCCAAAAGGAAGAGGAGAGTGCCTCACTCTGAAAAGTATGGATCACCTTCAAGAATAATGCTCCCTCCCACGGTTGGGTAACTAATGAGGAAGCATTAGAAAACAGTAAGGGGGAAATTCAGGAGACAGAGGCTCAGTATGATATGCTGCACGT